CTTTGAGCTCCAAACTAGTTAAACGTTTAAGTTTTCTGTAGTATTAAAGGTAGGGCAACAAATGCCGTCTGCTCTATGGCCTCACAGCAGCACTCCATACTATTTGTTTACGGATACCTCTGACTGGACGGCTGTCGTGTGAAATCTCTGCTTATTAGAATTCCTGCAATCGTGTTAGTACTGGACAAACCCTGGTCCCTAAAGATATCTCCTGAATGTTGGCTGCAATATACGCACTATCCTGTCAGAATGCCGTGTTTACAGGAACTTCTGATAGGTTGTGTTTTTTTGAGAATAGGATTGGTCTCAAGACTAAGACTGACTGGTCTCCAGTGTAGGAGGTATAGTAGTGTTGGCCAAATGCCATAGTTCACGTACACATGCTCTTTGAATATTTATTTGCGTACTTTACTCAAAGAACTGTCATTCAAGTTATTCTACCTGAGCCATTTTATTTGCTGGTTTTTTCGCATGGACATACGAAAACCCGCGCATCCGCCTTCGTCCGCACCAGATGAGTACTTTTTACTGCTAAGCGATGTACCTAGACTGGCGTGAAACTGTTCGTGGTTGACTCTCGCTTTGTGAATACTACGCACGCAACCTTAATACAATGAGAGCAACATTCGTTTTGACGTAATACAGAACTACAGATTTGCAATCAATTTATCGCTGAATACTGATACACCATCTACCTGAGTCTGCCCATTTTTTAGAGAAGCACAAAATCCCGGAAACGTCTAAAATGGCTGATATTTACCAAGTTTTGTTTTTAGACGTAAAGAGTGTCTTCGTATCCCTCAAAACGGAGTAAATATCAATGTACAAATAACATAACGATTAAACATAGTGTTTTTTCTGTGACGTTCACATCTAAGTATCGTGTAAGAATTAGTGTAATCTCATGTATGACGGTTTGTCAACAGCCTTCAGTCGGAGTATAGATTCCAAAACAGTTTGCGGAGATTCCGCGGTATTTTTGACTTACTTGGGCTGATTGAGATGCGGTTCAACAAGGGAAACTAGATTTTGCTTGGCTTCGCCGATGGGGGCGTCTTAGGAACAAACATTTACATAACGTCACATGCTGCTAGGCCAATCAGTGACCAATAAATTTCGATAGAACTGGTAGGCGTAATCTTAAATATATTATTTTGTTGTAGGGGGCGCACACCGATCGTTCTTATGGAACTCACTCGTTCCGTCGTGCCTTACGGGCTCTCTGTCTTTCGAGCCCAACCAGCAGCCGCACAGCGGCGCATGATATAGGTATTATTTTTTTACCGACAAAGACAAGGGAGACTGGAATGGCCATCTCTGGCGTATTAGCCGTCGTTAGCCAGTCATACCCAAGAGCCGAACCCCTGACAGTTGTGTCACGCAGAGGCAGAGTATCGGCGAAACACTTGTCTGGGCTTTTAGTTAGTACCTATGTCCAAAGTACGGTATAGTATGTTTGATACATACATTTCATACTACTTTTAGTACTACTCGTCTGTAGAATGGGCATTAAATGGTTATTCTAGAGCACTCGATTGTCTTCGGCTCTTGGGCTCGTGGCCCAGTGGTTAGAGGCGTGGACTTCTAACTAACAGGTCGAGAGTTCGAACCTCGGGTGTTCCCTGCTTCGGGATTGGGTATGACTTACTGACGACGGCTAATAAGCCAGAAATGGCCATTCTAGTCTCCCTTGTCTTTGTCAGCACCATTTCATATTATTTTGTGTTTGAAGCAATGTTTTCCCGGAATAAATTTGAATAAGGCAAAGGCGACAAAGCATGCAGTATTTACTGACGTCATACATTTCGAGACCTCTCATTCAGCTGCGTACGGTCATTGCATAGTTATATGACAGGGCAAACTGTTCAATCAACCATCGACCTAGAGAGACAAAACGTGATAGGTAACCTGAAACATAGGTCTAGTATGCGGGTGCATATGGCGAGGGGAGGAGGGGGAGAGAAGTCATCCAAGTATGGGAGTTAGGACACAGTGAGAACTTGTCTGGCGTGATTTAGAGTTCAACGCGCAGGCAGCATTCAGTCATGCCGGGGAGGGGGGCGGGGGTTGGGGGAAAATGAGAAGGCGCATATGGGAACAGGGTTTCGTCCATAATCGATCCTTTCCATGGCAGTGCCAGGTTTATCACGTGGTTCAACTGCTTGCGTAGTTCTAGTTTCCTCCTCCGTATTGCAGCGGCCTCTGCAAATCGATCCCATCAGACGCAACCTTGCCGTTTACACTTCCAAAGATACTTTCTTCTTCTTAGATGAGCTGAGGCATCAGAATCTACTGAATAAACACATGATCTCGCTTGACGTGCAGAGCCTGTTTACAAACGTGCCACTGGATGAAACAATTGACATAATTTGTGAGCATGCGGGTGAAACACACCTGACACCAGAGCAACTGCGGGAACTACTGCAGATATGCACAAAGAATGTACAGTTCTTGTTCAACGGACGGCTGTATCGACAGATCGACGGTGTAGCTATTGGTAGTCCATTGGGGCCAGTCCTAGCGGACATTTGCATGTCTAATCTAGAGCGAAAACTAGCCCGGAACTTACAACGAGCCTCGTTCTATAGGCGATATGTGGATGACATTTTTGCCATAGTCAAAAACCCAGGCGACGGAGAACTACTACTCAAGGCTCTGAACAAAGCATCTGCAAAGATCAAATTTACGGTCGAGCATGAGAAGAATTACACACTGCCTTTCCTGGATATTCTTGTACGTAGGCGGGCAGATGGCTCTATTCAGAGATCCATCTATCGAAAACCCACCTGGAAAGGACAACACATGCACTTCCTCAGTTTCGTTCCAATTCAGAGAAAACGGAACTTGGTTTTGTGCCTGTTCAACAGAGCCACCAGAATCTGCACCTCAGATACGATCGATGACGAGCTTACTTTCCTAAAGAACGTTTTTCTTGCAAACGGGTATCCGGAGAAATTCATCGATAAATATCGCCATCCCAGACAAGAAACTCCTGACGAAATATCTGTACCTAAAAAGTCAGTGACCATCTACCTCCCCTTCAAGGGTGATAACGTGTCAAACGTGATCAAGCGGCGACTTCGGTGCGCAATCGAAAGGACGTATGCCGCCTCTAAATTATTGTTCATAAGCACCACAACAGCCATCCCAGTTAGACCAGCTAAAGACATTTTGCCTATGCACGCGACATCGAACTGTATATTTTGCGTTTATAAATAGAACTTTCTTTTTGCTAAATTAACGTGTAATTTTAGTCTATTCAGGATAACTTTGCGTTTCAGATCGGCCTTGAATTATTGCTGATTTTCAGTGTTTTCATCCGATCGCCCATAAAGGCAGATTCTGAATTACCTGTCTGTTAAGAACTGTAAAACCCTGAAAATAAGATACTTATTAGAGGCACTTATTGAAGCAGCGAGTGTTTGGACGTTCTTTTTCATGTCGAAGGTCGTTTGAGTCACATTTGAAGACTCACTCAAGCATTAAACTGCATTGTCGAGTAAAATAGCCGTCCACAAAGACAGTCAGTAAGAAATATGCCTTCAATCGCAATTTGAAAACTCTCTCTCTAATAAGTTACCTCTTTAGGAAATGCTTTATTACTGTACTCCGTTGACGGATCTCTGTGTACTTTGCACTTTTGCACGGTGAGGCCAAGAAAAAATATGACACTTTTGGCCGTTTCTTTCACGTTCCTAAACTATACTGATATTTTTCTACCGTAAACGCAAGATTATATCTTTCTCTATATGTTGCGGCCATTTGCATTGTTTTTGCTCGCTCTTAGACTCCGTTCGTCGATTATGAATACACGACAGAGCGCCCATATAAATACTGATATTTTGATGAAAGTACTTATGTTTTGCTCGTTCCATTTCTGAATCAGGCATTTGCGGTAGTAAGACTACACGGCGAGTAATGTTTCTTATGTGGCTATTCAGTGGTGGTCATTTCTGTGACATCACGTAAAATTTTCCAAACAGCAAAACAATTTCAGCCCATTTAAACGAAGGAATGCCTGTCTGCATTATTACTGCACTTCAGGGCACCAAGTAGCACTGACCTGCTGATATGACTTTTTAAAAATCGTTAAAATATTTGGTTCTTTTAAAATGACCTTTGCGTGAGGTAATTGATTACCACGGTTTGGGTCGGACATAAAACAAATTCTCAAGTCCGCAAACCTCTGCTTATTAAAACTCCCGCGAGTAAATTAGTCTCCTTTTAATGAGAAACACGCCCAAATGTACAACCGAAGTCTAGGACAGATATTAGCATATGAAATGGCACGAATATATTGCAGCGTTCATGTTCACTAAAAAAATAGTTGATATTTTGCTGGATATAATTACGCAAGCACAATCTCTGCACAAGAAAAGGACATTTCATTGAAGGGACCGAATAAGCAAGCAAAATGCGTAACGTTTAAGGCGTCCAAAAATTGTCACATCAGTTTCCGTGATCAGGTTTCACCAGATAGGTCACGTACTGTAGGCAAATGTCGTAGTTGACGTTACTTATTCTTTTTGCGTATTTATTTGCGAACGTTACTAAAGGACTGTCTTTAGAATTATTCTACGTGAACTATTTTATTTGCTCGTCTTTTCGCATGGGCATACGAAATCCCACCCAGCCACCATGCGGTTTTCACCAACATTCTTTATCAGCACAAAACGAACCAAAACCCAGTGGCAATAATGGAATTATCGCAGACGGTGTCCTCATTAGCAAGTTGCATGTCAGTCCATCTGGCTTTGAATGTACGCCATCAGCGGTTTCTAGTCCGCTTAGTCCTGACCAATAAAAGTAACTTTGGGGTTCTCACCACATAACTGTGCCGACTATCGCCCAATCGAATCCGCTCTTTGAAATCGGCCAATCAGAACCTGAAGGTCATGAACGCGTGCGTGCGGGAGGGTGCGAAGTGTGCTGGCACTATAAGAGGCAGTGCTAATGGCACTCGCGATTATTCGTCGCTCCTGTTCCGGTTATCGTTCGAGATGGCGCTCGCAGACGTCGAAGTATTCGAAGACGCAGTTCCCCTGGTTCGTAGCTGTCCAGCCCTCAACGAGATTCGCACTTCGGGAGAATTGAAAGAGCTCGTCATAGAGGTAGCTCTCCTTTCTGTTGCCGTTGTTTACACGGAAATTTGTTCATGCTTGTTAGGTGAAGGACGGCGCTATTCTCAATGCCCATCGAATAATACTAGCGGCTCGAATTCCGTCGTTGCGAGCTGCTCTCAGTGGCGCCCTCGGGAAGGATAATTCGGTGCTAAAATGGCCGACGGTGCCTCTAAAGTAAAGTCATCCTCCTTCCTCTGATTTTGCTTTTGCACTTTCTAGCCTCGCGAATTCACTCATCAAGTATGTGTACACCGGGCAGTTGGAGGTGACCCAAACGAATGCGATGGGCATAGTGATGTTTTCGAAAATGATGAAACTGTCTAATCTGGAGAATTGGGGAGTGAAATTCATGGCCAATAGGTAAGCAAGTGCCGGTTCTTTCTGTCTAACTGTCGGCTGTAAAGAGTGACTTTAGAAAATCTGGCAACCACGTGGGACTTTGCTAGATCTTCGAATATGGGCCCACTGATGAAGACTTGCATCAATCTGATGCAAAAGCAGTTTATGAATTTCGTCTCTACTGACCTCTTTGTTCGCCTGCCAGCTGACACCGTGCTGACTTTGTTGCGAAACGACAATCTGTCAGTTGACTCCGAGGAGGCAGTTTTTGAGGCGATTTCAAGCTGGGTGCGTGCCGGCGATAAAGTGTGTGATAATCAGAGACTGAGATTGCATGCTCCGGAAATGTTGAAGGAGGTTCGTTGGTGTCAGACGACTCCCCAATTCCGCAGTCGCCTGGTCGGTAGTCATCCAATTTTCCGGGATAACAACAGCTGTGGGTAAGTATATGCTGTTCTAGTTCGTGATTTATTTTCTAATGAAAGTCGTTTTATGGCTCTGGTGGAGCAGTGGATGAGCTGCGCAGACAAGAACAAGCCTCCATGTCCATTCAACCGACGTCGGAGACCACATCAGACGATCATCGTGTTCGGAAAGGACAGAAATCAGCACAGGTGGTCTGTCCTGCGTTTCGATCCGCAGCTGGAAAAGGAAGAGAGGATTGCCGACATGGAGAAGCGATCACTGGCCTCCTACAGTCTCGTTGGCGGTGAGTTGCCTGACAGTTACGCACCCCGTCTTCTGCGCACCTGCCTTGTTTTCCTCTTTGTCTAATTTGACCAGTTGGTGTCTCTTTTTGCCAGAATTATAACAAACACACTCCTGCCAGTAAAGCTGCCATCTCCGCAGAATGCATAGGATTGCAGTAGTAGCAGTAGTAATTGAGGGGTTTTGAGGTTTTGGAGTTGTCCATTCGCCTGGCCTGTCCCGACGCGTTAGTTTTTTTCCGTCTTCAACTAGCCCAACCGTGTCTCCACCTGCGTGATTTGTGTCCGTCACTGGCGGCCAGTCAACTGGGAGAGTTTTTTCCATCCACGTCTGTTTGTCCGACGATGATATTCCCCCTCTTTCTGTCAACTACACGCCTTTTTAATTTTATCTTTCCTATCTTCTTTTATCTTTCTTCCGCGCAATTTTATGAAACTTTTTTCTACTCCACCCCACCCCACGGAAGAGAGCATTTTCGTGGTTGGAGGAGACACTGCGCAAGAGATGTTCTTCACAACGAGTGTCGAGGAGTTTCTGGTGGCAGAACGGCGCTGGCGCAAACGGGCGTCCCTCGCCGTTGGACGCAGCGGGCACGCAGCCGCAGTCCTGACGGAAGCCGGAGGGGAGGCGCTGATCGGCGTTTTCGGTGGATGGCGTATCGGTGGAACCCTTTCCTCTTGTGAAGTCTATGAAGTCAGTCGGAACAGGTGAGAGCACACTCGTCCTGGCGCCTCCTTTTTTTCTTGCAAAATCTTCCTGTTTTGCCTCCTCACTCGTCTCCTCCTCCTCCTCCTCCCCAACACACACAGGTGGTTCAAACTGCCCGATCTGAGAGAGAAGAGGGAAGGCACGGCGGCTGTTTGCCTGCCCGGCGACAGCAGAGTCTTCGTTTTTGGCGGCTTCAGTGGCTCCACCTGGCTGGCTTCTGTGGAGTTCTGCCACCTGCGAGCAGACTGGCGAGAGAGGGCGACCTCGTCGGACTTTTGGCAGCCAGCCGCACCCATGAGAACTGCACGAAGCGCTCTGGCAGCGACACACTTTCGGGGGAAAATCATTGTCGCCGGGGGATATGATGGCCGTGGAAACAGATTAAACGTGGTGGAGATGTTCACACCACCAGATGCCAGGTGTCCCCAGGGCCAGTGGACAGAGCTGGCCGGCATGAAGGAACCCCGCGCGTTTTTCGCTCTTCTCACCTCCACCGACGACGCCGTCTTTGCTCTCGGTAATGATGCCTCCTCCTGCTCCTCTTTTGCTCTACACTGACGCACAGTGTAACTGCATTCCTTCC